CCAATATCATATCTATGTGATACAGCATGTGCTTACATAAATGAAAGAGAGTCGTATTTCAATAACCCAGTATACAGTCAATGCAACTATTGGTTTACCTGCACTTCTGTTGGCTATGTGCTTATAATAAGCTAATACAGTAGTACACAATGTACATGTATCAGAACAATAACCCATATATTGTTCAGCTATACTCATTAACCCCTTTTCTTGTTACACATTTAATATAGTACATGCAATACTGGTGTTCCATTGACTTTAATATGGTTACTTTATTTCATTAGAACTCAGAATACAAGTCAGACGTTAAATAAAACTATCCGATACGGTGATATAGAGAAGACAAGGCTATGTTTGGTGCCAACATTGAAAATACAAAGAGATGCAGATCATGCAAAGTGGGTTGAAGAACAAGCAAGAATGGTTGAGAAAATGCGATTAGAAGATAATGATGAATATGTGAACAATACAACTCCAATTAAAGATGATTTGACTTTAGAACAAAGTGCATCTAGACCATTTTATAGGTATTTATGTATATTTTTTATTTTAGGTACAATCAAAATGTCTAAATTGTGATCATGCTGATTGATGTGTTTCACATGAAATTTGTTTATGTAGATTTGATGTATGTTTCACATAGATTTATGTATGCAGATTGATGAATGTTTCACATAGATTTATGTATGCAGATTAACGGATGTTTCACATAAATCTATGTATGCATATTAATGGATGTTCCACATAAATCTGTATGCAGATTAATGGATGTTTCACATAAATCTATGTATGCAGATTAATGGATGTTTCACATAAATCCATGTATGCAGATTAATGGATGTTTCACATAAATCCATGTATGCAGATTAATGGATGTTTCACATAAATTTATGTATGCAGATTAATGAATGTTTCACATAAATCCATGTATGCAGATTAATGGATGTTTCACATAAATCCATGTATGCAGATTAATGGATGTTTCACATAAATCCATGTATGCAGATTAATGGATGTTTCACATAAATCTATGTATGCAGATTAATGGATGTTTCACATAAATCTATGTATGCAGATTAATGGATGTTTCACATAAATCCATGTATGCAGATTAATGGATGTTTCACATAAATCAATGTATGCAGATTAATGGATGTTTCACATAAATCAATGTATGCAGATTAATGGATGTTTCACATAAATCTATGTATGCAGATTAATGGATGTTTCACATAAATCTATGTATGCAGATTAATGGATGTTTCACATAAATCTATGTATGCAGATTAATGAATGTTTCACGTAAATCTATGTATGCAGATTCATGGATGTTTCACATGGTGTTATGTCTGTAGTTTTGATGTATGTTTCAAGGATGTTATCTACATCAGTCCATTGAAAATATGTTCTTTGTTTTCTTACAGCAGCTTGCAATTTCCTAGAAGGCTCAACTCAGCACGAGTGAAGGAAGAGTAAGTACATGTATACTATTGACAAATGGAGAAATATGAAACCATAGTCGGTGATTCCATATGGAGAATCCAAACAATGTCCATGAGATTCTCCCATTGGAACTTAGTGTCACTGACTTCATATACCCATCATACCCAATGTCAATGTTTGCACTTATGAGAAACCACTGGCAGCGACTTCATGAACCCATGTGAAACCCAGTATCAGTGACTTGACTTATCAGAAC